GCGGCGGACAAGATCGCCCAGCATACTGTTCCATCGACGGCTGTCTGCGGGCCGCCGTCGTCCACGGCCCGCTGCTCTCATTAAACAACTTGCACAATGGCGTCTCCCATCTCCAGGTGCGGAACTTCCGGCAGTGCAGCCGGTTGCCTTTTTTGGCTGCCATGACTTTCTGCAGCCGAGCCCAATCCTTGTACCTCATCGCGTGGTAGCTCAACCTGGTCCGGTCGTTGCTGCCGGTCTCTGTAAATACCCGACCCACTTGTAGACCGTGCGGAAATAATGTGCATCCCACTTCTCGATCTTGGCATGGGATAGCGCCATCCGGACCCTCCTGTGTGTCCTGGAGAAGAATGCGTCGCCAAATTCGCCTGGTCTACGTTTGAGTCTCAATCTTTTCCGCGCCGTGAACTGCTGAGCACCTCTTGGCTGAGATTGCGGAGCCTGCGTGGGCGTCCGACTTCCCGTGCGCCAGGACAATGTGCTCTCGACAGGTATCTGCAGCAAGTGGGGCCTCCTTGCCAAAGGGGCACTGTGGCAACACATCGTGTTTCTATAGTTGAAGAAGGAGCGCTAAGTTTTATCAATGCGCGCAGATCGCTCATTGAACGTCATATGGGCCCCCAGCGCTTTGAAACCAAAATTCCGCGAGGCTCTGAATATATGCCGGCCGCGTGCGTGGGCGCGATGGGCTTGATTATCCTCCGCGGGTGTGTGCCAAGTGGCTTCTGCGAGCGGCGCCGACCACCCGTCTTCTTGCAAAAAAGACAACCGTTTTTCCGACCTGTCCGAAAGCATGTCTGGCGACGTTGCGGAAAGGCAGAAGTTGTCCGCAGCGGAACGAGAGATGCCCGAGTGCCGTTGTCTAGTCGCATTCCGCACTCTCGCTCTCGACGCCGCTCCGCGAAACGTTCGGCGGGCATGTCCAAGGCAGCATTGAGCATCGCCGGGGCGGCTGGGTCGCCTTGCAGCAAAGACCTGCTTCTGAAAACCGGATCAGATGGCAAGTGGGGGCTGAATTCGACTGCAGTTCTGGCGCGGCGAACTTCCGTGATCCATCCAGCGATCAGGCTGTCAAGAACTCTCTTTTGTGTCAATCCTTTAATGCAAGTCTGGTGTCGTGTGCAGTCGTGCGCCTCGTGGATGTCTCCGTCCAGGATGAAGGCGCGCGCATTCCACTCGATTGCCCCCTCGATGATATTTCTGAGTGTGAACGCCAGCTCGTGCGCGGAGACGCATCATATGTCCGATCGTTGGGCTTGCCAATGTTAGTAGCAACTTCGAATCTGGGTTGTAAAGTACAGGTGTGATAGCTATGGGTCAGAAGTGCTGGATTGTGATCGCGTCGGCTCTCTTCTGAAGCAAGCAACCGCTCTGTTGTGTCCACGAGGTATCACTCCCTTCGCTTGGGTGGGCGGGCCAATCCATATTGCAACTCTCGAGCATATGGCCAGTGTTCGCGAATCTCGGGGCGGCTGACAGCACCTGCGCCCCCTCGCACACGGCCTTCGCCGCAGAGAGCAATGGCTGAACGTGTTGCCGAACGTGGCTGAGCACCGCGTGGCCCAGGCGACTCTATGCCGCGATGCTTCTCGCGAGGCCCGGGGCCGGCGGTCGAATGCGGCGACGCCGGTTCCGAAGTTTTTGCGAAGGGGCCGTCCAGGGTGGGGCGCGCGCGTCCGCGAAAATCCCCAGGTAAAGCCCGCGCTGTAATATTCTTTGAACCTCTGAATGTTGACGTCGAACTCCTGCAACTTCAAGATCGCCAGAGGCAGAGGCTGGGCCCGAGAAGACCAGGGCGCGCTTCGAAAGATTCAGCCACGGGCCGCTGGACTTGCCCATCTTCGCAAATTACCGAAGCATGCTGGGCAGCGCGCTGTGTGAACCCGCGGCCGCGAGGCCAGCGTCGTCGGCGCAATCTGATGGATCGGCATCCCGATGGACGAGAGGGCGACGGGGGAAACGAAGGAGAGGAACCACCGCGATCGCGAAGAGAACCCCGGACCCCGTGAGCAGACAACCCTGATCAATCCCCCGCTCGATCCCGCGCCCCGCATGCGTGCGCCCGCCGAAGCGCATGTTGGTGTGCAGGTCATTGTAGAGAGCGTCGAGAGCGTCTAGGAGACGTCGGGGTTCCAGCGACATGAAGTACATGTCCGATGAATTTGTGGGCGGGGCTAGGGAAAGCAACTTCGATGTCGAAAAGGGCGCGCCCCGCATTTTTGCAAGCGCAAGCAGCGTGCCAAAGTGTGGCCTCCGTGCTGGGGGCGATGAAATTGCCGACCAGGGGGCGGCCTTTAACGGGGCCTCGCTGGAACCCGGCCAGTGCCACTCGCGCGTGCTCTGTGAATGGCTGGCAGACAGCTGCGGCAACAGACCTGCTGGACGAGACCGATAGCGAAATGGGCCTTGTGTCGGAAGCCTGCTTGAAAACCGCGGCGCCATTCGTGGGCATGTCGCCCTTCGGGGGCATCGCGGTATCAGAAGTTCATGTCGCGGGCGA